GAACTTTTGTGATGACCAACTGTTGATAGATTTTCGTCTAGCCTATGGGTCTATTGTTCCAGTGGGAAAGGGGTTTTTGTGTGTACGGATTAGTGTACGTCGGTTTTGCAATAGAATTCCATGTGCTAAATTTAGGTATTTGTACATACGTGATGCGCGCTATTCTGACAACTCCCTTCTAACACCAACTTTGAAGTTGATCAGTCTTGTATATGCTGGCCACATCCCTCATGTTCATCACTCTCATACATGAAGAGTCGCACAATTTAACCGTCCCAATTACATACGACTGACCAGAAGTGTGATGTCTATTTTCCGCATGCGTTTTTGATAAACTGAGTTTTCTGTCCACGATGCATTATTATTTTTAATATATTGTTTGTCCCTTGGGTTTCTAGTCGAACATAGGGCTTCAGTAGCACGTCTCCATTGTACTCTATTCTCTGCAATCTTTTCAAACTGGCACCACGACTGCCCATAAGCTCTCATCTCTTCCTCACACCATCTCCTCCATGTCACTGTCGTCTCGCACGCCCAACTCGTCGTTTCCTCTTTGGATTCCACTCGAAGACCTGGGCTAGCCAGGCACGTGATGTCTCCAGTCGGTTCAAGCCAATCCAATCCATCTCTATTTTCTTCTACTGCATATTTCTTGGTTGATAGTTTGTTGGTTGGTTGGTTCGTTGTCGGCCAGAGTGAGTTCCTTGTTGCTCATTCTTATTCTTATTATTCTGGCCATCTGAACTTGAGTATCGAGTGAGAGAAGGCGGCAGCTGTTAATGAATATCCGTAGTTTGTTGGAAGTGCCTTTCATGACACACCAAGTCTCTCAACCATCACATAGAAGCACTGACTTGACATTGGTGTTGAAGAAACGGATCTTGTCTTTTATGCTGAGACAATGCACTATAATCTATCACAATGAAACAAGTAATTTCATGCACAATAACTGATATTAGTCAATATGCAGTCATTTTCTAACTCTAAGTCACAAGCTCTTGAACCGAGGTATACAATAGAGTTACCAGGAAGGTAATAACTAAAATGACTCTGAAAACAGGAAAGACAATATGACCAATAATACTTATCTGAGATTCACGTTTTCCACTTTCCTACCGATATAACAATCCATCGAGCCACCATGAGGACCTAGAATGGAAAAGAAGAGAAGAAAAATACGAAACCGTCACTCACCAAGTAAACAAAATGTATGTACGCTTAATAATAACAGAAAATTGATAGGCAATGATAATTCACAATGTAAAGGTAAGGTAATTTGTAAGCCGATAGTGAAAAGGTAATGAGCTAAGTTACAATAGGTCTACACATGGAATATTCATGGAAATCTTTGAATCTAATGATTTGAAATACATTTATACCTCCTAAGACTACTTCAGATCGGAAAAGCAAGACAGGCTTTAATTACTCTGAAATCAGTGTAGAGATATGCTGCACTCAGGATAAAGCGTGAACAACATCCGGATTTTCAACACCAATCCAGTCAAGTCAGTGCTTCTATTTGATGCTTCAGAAACTTAGCGCGTCACGAAAATCACTTCCAATAAACTAAAGACATTCATCAACAGCTGCTACCTACGCCCACTCATTACCGAACATCAGATAGCCAGAAAGAATAAGCAACAAGGAACTCACTCTGATTGTCAATGAACCAACCAAGAACCTACTACACAACAAATATGCAGAAGAAAGTGTAGATGGATTGGGCATACACTGAGGAGGACGACTGGGGACATCGCATGCCAGGCCAGACCGTCAAGTGGAATCCACAGGGGAAACGACAAGTTTGGCGTCCGAGATGAGTGTGACGTAGAGCAGGTCATGTGAGGAAGAAATGAAAGCTTGTGAGCAGTGGTGGCGCGAGGTTCAAAAGACTGCAGAGAATAGAGTGGAATGGAGACGTACTACTGAAGCCCTATGTTCGACTAGGAACCCGAGGGAAAAATAATAATAATAATATTACTTCAATTCACGGGTTTTCTAATAAACAATACTCCTTTTTCTCAAACCTTTAATCAAACTGATTGTTAGTCGAAGTGGAAACTGCTCACAATCATGTTATTAATAGGCTTTTTTCAAGTAAATAAACAGTTTCACAATTTGATTTCAACCTCATCTATTTTCTATCTCTTATGTGATCTTTAGCAGGTCGATTATTCTTTAAAACAAGAGACGTCCAGGGAGCAGTTACTCTTTTCTACGCTGTCATTATCAAGGTGTATTAGCTAATGCTCTTCAATAACTGATGATAGAATCTAGGTGACTAAAAAAGCAACTTGAATTTAGGACAATAAACGATAAACAAGTTTCAGTCATTATGAGTTCCACATGAAAGTGTTGAGTAGAGATGATCCAAATAAGTCTGTAAGAAGAACACCAATCTTCAGCTCAGCTTCGAGTTCTAGGCCGGTCCTCAGATGTATAAATGTTCCAACAAAAACCTGATGGATCGGTCGCCTCACCGAGCATAAAATAACCAAGCAACGTATATACTTGAAAATAAACACTCCTGAAAGAGCATTCTGTCAACGCATCCATCAAACTGATCAGATCTATCCCGTAATCCCACAAACTGTTGGGCTTTAACACATCCACATTCAGTTTGGGAGTTTATGGGGATTTGTTGGGTGATTTCAAGTTGATAGACATCATGGATTGACATCAGTTTGAGGAACGTTGAAAACCTGAGGGAAGTGGACAGCTGTTTCCTCCTGGTATGGGACTTTTCATCAGTGCACACTCATAACAGTGCACTTTAGAGATCAACCACTGGAACAATTAATTACGACTCAGTAGCTCAAGAGTAACGTGTTAGCCATAGAAACCCAAGGTCCTGGGTTTGAACCCTGGGATGTGGGGTCGTTGGTCCACATTGCTGAGGAGTCCAATACTGGAGACCTCTCATCAACTTCTAAGTTGAATAATTGAGTGAAGTAACTTACAAACGAAACTGATACTGACCTAATTATCTAGATTCCCGTCGTTTTTTGTTCACTGATAGAAGAGAGGAAGACGGTGAAGCAGAAGATGAACCAGTGCAAGGATGAACAACGAAAAGACTAACTGAGTACAACTTACAAAACACTGGACAAAGAAGTGAAGAAGAGTGCACGGAAAGAAAAAAGACACTTCTACGACACACTTGCAAGTGAAGCAGAACAGGTTGCAGGTAGGAGAGGAAGACCTGATAACATTGTGTCAAATAACCAGGTTACTATCTGGGAGGAAAGAGATCAATGCAGATGAAACCACTGAAACATAGTGAAAGAGACCTAGTTGCCAAATAGGAGAAGCAAGGGGAACAATCGGTTGACAACTTCAAAAAGCTCTTGAATCGACCACCACCTCCATCTGCAACTCGTCCAGAAATACCACCAGCAACGGCAGAACTACAAGTGAACACAGGCCCTCCGACAAAAGCAGAAATGAAGTCCTAAACGCCATAAAGCTACTGAAATCCGGGAGAGCAGCAGGAGCAGAAGGAATTCCGCCATAAGCAGTGAAAACAGATACGGAGACAACAGAGTACGTGCTGACACCATTACTGCAGAAGGTTTGCAAAGAAGAGAAGGTACCTGCCTATTAATTATAAGAAGGGTTACCTTGTCAAACTCCCAAATAAATGAGACCTAAGTCTTTGCAAGAACTGGTGTGGAATTATGCTGCTGTCCAACCCAAGCAAAATATAATGCCGCATTATCCTGGAGAGACTAACAGACGCTCTGGATTCAAAATTGCAACTGGAACAGGCTGGTTTCAGGAAGAACAAATCATGTGCGGATCAACTGAACATAGAGAAGACAGAGGTGATGAAGATACACAACCAACAACACCATCAACAACAAGAGAAACCAATCACCATCACCATCAACGGGAGACATCTAAAGCAAGTGGTCTCTTTCACTCACCATCTAAACAGCATCGTTCCAACTACAGGTGGTGGTGGTGGCACAGACGAGGATGCAGAAACCAGGATTAGAAAGACAGCAAGACAGGCCTTTTTGCATTTATCTGAAATAGTCAGTGTGGAGATCTACTGTACTCAGGATAAAGCGTGAACAACATCCGGATTTTCAAGAGCAATCGAGTCAAGTCAGTGCTTCTACGTGACGGTTGGGAAACTTGGCGTGTCACGAAAGGCACTTTCAACAACAGCTGCTACCTACGCTTACTTGTCAAGTTCAAATGGCGAGAATAATAAGAATAAGCAACAAGGAACTCAATCTGGTTGGCAATGAACCAACCAAGAACCTACCACACAACAAATATGCAAAAGAAAGTAGAGATGGAGATGGACTAGGCATACACTGAGAAGGCCGACTGGGGACATCATGCGTCATGCCAATCCCTGAAGTGGAATCCAAATAGGAAAGGATTAGTTTGCCGTCCGAGGCAAGATTGACATAGAGGATATCCTGTGATGAAGAAATGAAAGCTAATGATAAGTGGTCGAGCGAGGTTCAAAAGACTTTAGAGAAGAGAGTGGAATGGAGGCGTATTACTGAAGCCCTATGTTTGACTAGGAACCTAAGGGAAAAATAATAATAATAATAATACCGATGTAATAAAGCGTAGATACAAAAAGTTACATTTCTATTTGACCATTAGTATCAATTTATCTACATTGTGAAAATGACGATGACTACAATATTGTTGTTGATAATTTTGTCAATAAAAAAAACAAACAGTAAATGATGTAAGACTACTCAAATTATCGATATTTATTTATATAAATATTAGAGAAGAAAATAAGAGATTATTTACGTGGGTGGAAACAGAACTCAGCTGTTTGGGTACAATTTATTTACACCTGTCTTGATTCAATGGTATCAATATGTTGAAGGAGAAGATAAATTTGACCTTGAAATTTATTCTTATCCTGTAAAAAGAGTCTAAACGTTTATCAAACAGGGAACAGATTGTTAGATAGACAGAGTTAACCAATGAAAATTATCGCTGTCTTTCATTTTTGCCCACTCATAGAAAATTTTACTTTATAAGGTTGAAATCATGCTTAAATACTCATTAACTCTACAATGTTTTAACATTTAAGTAGTATGTTCAGATTAATGATTGGAATTATTCAATTTTTTATCATTATACAAATAGCATATAGTAAACTACATACAAATCAATGGTTGATTCGTTTAAAACAAACTGGAGATAATAGGGATGAATTGAAGCATTCAGCAAATGAAATAGCTAAAGAACTTGGTTTTATGACATTGAATAATCATAATTATGGAGAACCAAATGAATTTGTATTCACACATTTAGGTCTACCATATGTACGTGGTACACCAAGTTATCTGTATAGTCAACGTTTAAATAAACATCCTAAAATTGATAGTGCTATACAAATTGAAGGATTTGTACGTAGAAAACGTGGTTTTCGTCCATTATCTGATGATAGTTTAAGTAGAATTAATCTTTCTAAAGGAAGGATACTTTCAAAGAAAGAAGAAGAGTTAAGTGAATTGAGAAGTAGAACAGATCCATTATTTGTTAAAGAATGGTATTTACATAATATAGGACAAGCTGATGGTGTACCAGGATTAGATTTGAATGTATTGTCGGCTTGGTCACAAAATATCACTGGACGTGGAGTAATCACAGCTATTATGGATGATGGTGTGGATTATTTACATCCTGATATAGCAGAAAATTATGCTGTAGAAGCAAGTTATGATTTTTCAAGCAATGATGCTTTCCCATATCCTCGTTATACAGATGATTGGTTTAATAGTCATGGTACACGTTGTGCTGGAGAGGTTGCTGCTATCGCTGGCAATGGTATTTGTGGAGTCGGTGTAGCACCGGGTTCTAGAGTCGCTGGACTACGTATGTTAGATCAACCCTATATGACTGATTTAATTGAAGCGGCTGCAATGGCATATGCACGTGATCTAATCGATATTTATTCAGCTAGTTGGGGGCCTACAGATGATGGTACAACTGTTGATGGCCCACGTAATCAAACTATGCGAGCTTTAGTTGATGGTGTGAATAATGGTCGTAAAGGTAAAGGAAGTCTATATGTTTGGGCATCAGGAGATGGTGGAGAGAATGATGACTGTAATTGTGATGGTTATGCAGCTAGTATGTGGACAATTAGCATTAATTCTGTAACCAATGATGGTCATACAGCTGTTTATGATGAATCATGTGCTTCAACACTTGCATCAACATTTTCAAATGGTAAAAGTCCTTTCTTACATGATGCTGGAGTTGGAACTATTGATTTATATGGAAATTGTACACTACATCATTCAGGCACATCAGCTGCAGCACCAGAAGCTGCAGGTGTATTTGCTTTAGCCTTAGAAGCTCAACCAGATCTCACTTGGAGAGATGTACAACATTTAACTGTGCTTACATCAAAACGTAATCATCTATACGATAGACAACATAATCATAATTGGACAATTAATGGTGCTGGCTTAGAATTTAATCATTTATTCGGTTTTGGTGTATTAGACGCTGGTGATATGGTACATTTAGCAAAGAATTGGAAAACTGTACCTGAACGCTTTCATTGTATTGCTGGAACTTATAATGGACGTAAATTGGCACGTCTTGGTCAACCTATTCGTTTAGAATTGGACACTGATGCTTGTATGGGAAGGACAATAAATCAAGTGAGTTAACAAGTCTACAGTTTGTTCATTTCGCTCACTTTTATCATTAACTACTTGATTGAAATTCTACTTAACTATTTTTCTGTGTATTTTTGTTTTACACGATGTTGAAGTTAAAGTAAAATGTCTTATCTTTTCATGTTCATAGCCCAAAAAATGAGATTTTTATTTACCCAATTGTATACTAATTAAAGTCAACTCCTGATGAAGATAAGTTTGGCGAAAACGTCTCTCCTAATGCTTATTTGTTTAACTGTTGGAAAATCAACTTGAAAGAAGTTATAAACTGTGACATACTACAACATTATCATCATGGAGTAGTTTCATTTCTTGTATAACAAAAAACTTTTTGCCTTGAAGTTTCGATAGCGATTGGATTGGTTTTATGGGGTAGGGTTGCTAGCCTTTTGCCCAACCTTCCCTATTCATCTAGGCTTAGGACCGGCTAGTAACTGGTGAACTAGTTAACCAGGAAGACTGGATCATGTAGCGAACCGTGAAGAGCAAGAACATGGGTATACGCTAACTGGACACATGAAAATAGCCTACACGATTTGGATTTCGCCGACTATGATTTATGTTCAATGTCTTATCATACAAACTCCAAGATCTACAAACGAAAACTAACAACTTGACAGAAGAGGTGAGGCAGCGAAAACGCAACTGCAAGGAAATATAGAGAAGACAGAGGTGATGAAGATACACAATCAACAACAAGAGAAACCAATCACCATCACCATCAACGGGAGACATCTAAAGCAAGTGGTCTCTTTCACTCACCATCTAGACAGCATCGTTTCAACTACAGGTGGTGGTGGTGGCACAGATGAGGATGTAGAAACCAGGATCGGAAAGACAGCAAGACAGGCCTTCTTGCATTCATCTGAAATAATCAGTGTGGAGATCTACTACACTCAGGATAAATTATGAACAACATCCGGATTTTCAAGAGCAATCGAGTCAAGTCAGTGCTTCTACGTGACAGTTTGGAAACTTGGTGTGTCACGAAAAGCACTTCCAACAAACTAGAGATATTCATCAACAGCTGCTACCTATGCTTACTTGATAGTCAAGTTCAAATAGCCAGAATAATAAGTATTGTTGTTATTATTTCGTTTCCTGGTGAAGTATAGAGGATAATTATAAACTATTAATGCTTCCTGTATTTGTTTCAGTTCCTTGTTTAACTATTTACACTGACTAGTCAGTGCTCTGGCTCTATCATTTAGAGATTTGATCAAACCTGCTTTAACTACTATTTGATGAGATGACTTGAAGTCTAGATACCTGTTGGAATGTGTCAGTTTCCTGTAGACGGTAGTATCCAAACCACTGTCTGTCCTTCGTTTTTTCTCACAATCAGACATTGATGATTTTTCTAGTTCATTTCCTACCTCGTAAGTGAATTTAATCGCGCCTGTAACTGAGTTTATATGTGTGAGGAAATTGTCGATATGTTTCGATTTTAACACAGTGAATGTGTCATCCTCAAATCCCCACCATAACTTTGGTGTAGGAATGAATATTTTTGAAGCCATTTTTTGCTAACTATCCATAAATATATCTGCTATGATTGGTGATATTGGCGATCCCATTGCTCTTCCTTATTGTTTTATTTATAATTTTTCCTGAAGCATAAAGACTATAGAGTCAAGGCACAACACACTAATGAAGGTACATCAAAACTTTGCGTAGAATCTTCAACAAAGCTGGAATTAGAGTGGCATTTAAACCTACAAACCCACTCAGAGATAAGCTTAGTCAGTTGGCTTAAGGATCCGGTAGAACTAATTCACTAAAATAATCTAATCTATCAAATTTCATTTCATGACTGTGAGTTAGGTCAAGTACATAGGTGAAACTAGCATAGTTGATCAGGGTCAGTTAGAATAGCGAAACATAGGAATTTAGCTAAACACAGAATGACAGGCTCGAATCAGATCACTAATGGAGAAGAGAACTTGGCTATAGCAGTGCATAATAGGGTGAGTGGGATAAAACCACTCTACTCAAGTTCGAGGGGTACGAAACGATTTTCGAACGGCTGGCAGAAAACCCCTATACATTGGGGAATAATTGAGAGTTGATGTACTATTCAGATCAATTCAAGGAACTTTTAATCTTGGTAACTTACTAATTACGTTCTATGTATGTCCACTGGTGACAATCAGACTAAAATATGAATTTTCCCTGCTGACGAACACTTCCCAGCATGGATGAGTAAAGGTGTGGTAAATACCATTATCCACCACCTCCATATTAACACACTCAGTTGAAACGAATCATAAGGTTGATATGAATGAAACGTTTTCCACATGGTACCAAAAATTACTCAGATCAGCATCCTTCAAGCTACACAAGCAGTTGCATTTAGGATCAAACAACTTGAGTTTTGTGTTCTATAGAAGCAGATGTCACCTCTTCAACTACCATGCCTCGATTCGGGATGCACAAATTCATTAGCATCGTGCTTGAGATAGTCTAATGTCATATTGGAAAGTTCTCTTGTTTTCGTTAGTTTATTTCATCTAGTTGTCATGGAAACCTTCCTATTGTTTTATTAAACGATTACTGTGTAGAATTATTTACGCCGTATAGTCGCTTAGATCATCAACTATTTCGAATTGATTCCAAATAATCATTCTTCTCTCTACCTACGGAAAGTAACTACAAATCATGCAGAGTTTTGATCCCAGGTCTCTTTGTAGTACTGTCAGCATTTGGTAGAATCACCATGTGGGCAAGGTTGAAGTCAGGTGAAGAATATTATGTTAGATAGGCAAGTTGGGTGGAGGGAGACGGAATACGTTGGAAGGTGGTTCAGCACGACCAGAAGAAGACTTGGCATCGGTCTTACTGTTGGTCTGAACCATATTAGAGATGTAGATTGCGTGTTTAAGGTCCCCAAGACAACAGGAATCAGTGGTTTACGACTTTTGGTGACATTGATGAAAATCAGTCACAATGGTTCAGATATATTCACTCGTTGACATCTTCCCAAGCTTGAATGTTTGCACTAATCACTATCTTCAAATTGTTTATTCCCACAGACAACTGCTTTGATTTCACTTCACCTGTTCAGTGTGTACTTCTGTGAAGTGTTGAAAATTGAACCGAAGAACTTTTGTGCAACGTTTTACGTTGATTTTATCACTCAATCAGTCAGTCAACTACAAATCCAGAACAACACTTCAGTTGTACTTAGTAATATTGCGTAGCAGTTCAACTTGACACAAGTTAAAAGTTGTCAGAAGTCATCGGAAAAGAAATATTAGTTGAGGGAGAAATAAGTCACGAAATGTTATATGGCAATTTGGTTGACAAGAATGTTTGTATGTATCTGTGCTGGTGAGATCGGTTTACAGGCGCATCATCTACAGTCTCTAAGTACGGATCATCATTGTCAGGCTGATCTGAACGGGAAAGTTTTACTTTCTACTACAAAGCTCAAATCAACAATACAAAAATTTATTAATCGATGTCTGGCCACCTCTAAACCCTTTTCAATAGAAGTGACGAAGAAGTTGGTGATCAAACATGTGTAACATGTAGTAGTAGTAGTAGTAGTAGTAGTAGTAGTAGTAGTAGTAGTAGTAATAGTGTAACCTACAGCGGTATCTCTCTAGAAATTCGATATTTTTCAATGTGATATGGACTTCTACATATTTCATAATGTTCAAATGACAAATGGAACGAGGAATGTATGTTTCCGGCGAAAGCACTTTTGTAATTCAAATAGAATTTTTGGAATACATTGATTTCCACGTAGTTTTTATGATGAATTGAGATCTCACTTATGAGAACTGTTGGATACATAGAATAGCTGGATGTCTTTTCTCTACTAGTTGGCAAATCATCAGTAGTATACACCGAAAGATTCACAGGACATGGTGAGGTGGATCCCCAATGATTACACTGTGTGATGGTCATGAAGCGAAGGAACCAGAACTAGATTTACCAATGTGTTTCAAATCACTGGCTGAAGGATAATATGCTAGTAGCAAAGCTCAAAGATTCTGAGCTTCACCCTCCTCATGGTACTGTATGCACAGTGTTTGAAATTTACAAACTATACGTTTCTCTAAATGATATCAATCTTCAGTAAAAAGCTTCCATAAAGTCGCCTTTGTCAGAAAGTGTATACAACAATACGACAGAGAATGTATCCCAGTTGACATTTAAGTTAAAAGTGTACAGCTGATCACCAAAGAATAACCAATATCACATTGTAATGTCTAAAGTGCTTAATGGATTGTCTTTCGAATATTTTGCAATCTAGTCACCAAGGTACATCATAATGCGAAAATTTTGATTCACATTAAACATTTTGAGTAGAAATCGGTAACAAACTGTGAACTTCAATTTCCTGAATTGATTCTATTTTATCAAATTGGATAATGAAGCAGTTGATTCAATTTGAATAAGCTACCTCCTTTTGAAATGGAGAGTATTTTCAATATGGTTGATCATTTTATCAATTCACAATATAGCGGAACCATTCTTTAATGTTATCCAATGATTATTTCTCCTAACATTCACCTTGAGTAACTCCGTAGGTCACCGGTTCCTCCTTCCAACTTCAAAAAACTCATATAAATAATAACAGTCACTTCATTCAAAATAATTTTCTAAGAAAGCCGTGGTCTTGTAGACTAGATTTGATAATGGGTGATGACTGAAGGTAAAATATAAATTTAGACCGCAGCCGAAAGTAAAATGAGAACATGATTAGAAGTTTGACCTGGTAGCTCAGTTGGAAGAGCATCAGACCAGAAACCTGGTGGTAGCTGGTTGGAATCAAGCCTCGGTCCAAATTTTCATTTCAACTTCAATCATCACCCAGTATTGAGATAGTGGAGAATATTTGTAGTTCAGGTGGGGATGGTCTTAGTTGTATCATGTTCTCTATCCAGTTGGGCTGTTTATTGCTGGAGCTCTCATCGTACATTTTAAGTCCAGTGGTAATTCCAGTGATAAGGATAATACAGAACGTCCTCGAT